TTTTTTTTTGTTTTTATATCCCCCTTATTTTTTAAAATTTCAAAAAATTCTGTTTAGCTGAAAATAATGTTGTGATTTAAAATTTGTAAAACCAAAAAGGTTACTTTTTTACTCCAGCACGGAGAGAAATGTATAGTAAATTTTAGATAGTAAAAAAAATATAGTAAAATTTACTTTACTAAATTTTTAGGGCAACAATATTATATATTCGTCAATACAATATTAAGATTGTAATACAAAATACTATTTTTAATTATACAATTTTAGTAAAGATTACAACACCAATATTACTAAATCATAAATGTATAATATATATTTTAATTTTTAATATGTTCGTATAGTAAATTGATTTTACTATATTTTTAGTAATATATACAAAAGTTTATATACAAAAGTGCTCTTTTAGTTCCACCCTTACTTCTTAAGAAGTCTCATAAGCCAACTGAATGGCTTGTGCGGGTTAGGGGTAGGAACGGACCGCGGGCTTAAAGTCCCCTCCGAAGGACTATTACACAATAGGACAACACAAATAAACAGCCATACCCCTGGTGGGATTCGAACCCACGACCTCCGGCTTGTAGTCAGCTGCACTAACCACTCGACCACCGTCGGCGATATTAACTATATGATTTAATCAAATGTACATCTTATATTATAATATATTACATATTAATAAAAAATATAGTAAAAATAAAGATACTTTTATGTTTAAGGTAAATAAACAATATATTTAAATATAATATACAATATAGTAACTCATGACATTTTAAACATTCAATTTTCTTAGTTTTTTCAATAAACTTTCTTGACCCATTACTGGTAATACTTATAAGAAAGAATTGAACCTACTTGGTTGCATAGTATGTACCGATTGCGGCAAAGGCCACGTCGCGACGCGTCGTTAGACGGTGTGGATCACGTGATGTTCTTACATCTCGCCTCTGTTGGCTTACCAACCATGTTATATAAGCTCAGGTATTTCTTTGTTTTGGTTGGGTTCCACTACTACAAGTTGATCGACAGTGTCGTGTCGACACTGATGATACCCAATATAGGTCAAAACACCTGTCTGTCGGTATTTGAAGTTAATGGAACGCACTCAAAACAAAAAACTTTGGCGAGGTGTAGGTTCAATTCTTTCTCATAACATTTTTGTATATTAAAAAGTACAAAAAATATGTTACAATTTTTAATTGTTAACATATAAAAATATTCGATTTTAAAATATTTTATATTTAAAATGGCAACATAATATTTTAAAATTTACTATACAAATTAGTAATGGGAAAAATCTAATTATAATAAGAATTAAAAACAAAATTGGTTGAGAATAATAATATTTTACCTTAAGGTTTAACATACATGAATATTTAAAAATTACTAAATATGTATAGTATCTATATACAAGATAGTTGTCCCAAATAGTAATATAAATTATAGTAAAGGGTATTATAATTATGGTAATCAGCAATATACTTTTCTCTCCGTGAGAAATGTCCATAAGGCGATTTTCTTTTTCTGCCAATGAGGCATTTGGCATAACTTCATTGAAATAAAATTTTTCCTTTAAAAGTTGTTTTACTTTAGAAACTGATATTATTTTTGGCATAGTTATCTTTTTATAGGTATACGTATCGATATTATATAATAATTAACAAGTAAATTACCAATAATAAATATTACTGTCAATTTGACAGTATTTAATTAAGGTTTTCAGCAGAAGTACCATTTTTTAAATACTAAAATTATTAAATCAAACTGGCATAAGCTACCAACTTAATAAAAAAACTCGAGTCCAAATAAAAAAATGAACTGTAATTTATATAGCTAAATATAGATTATCGACAAATTGTCTGAATGGCAACCCAGCAAAAACAAACTACAATAGTAAAGCCCAATGACTCATTTACACAGCCTTCTCTACATCGGCTATGATCGAATATAAAATTCGAATCGCGTGTTTTTAGGTTTGTTTTTTATGCTTTTTATAGTTGCTGGATTATATTGGAAAAAGTGGGTGAGAGCCGCCGATTTAAATATTAATATTTTCAGTTTTAAATCAGATCTTGATCGAAAAAATGTTTTCGGTTTCCATGCGAGTTGGATTTAATTAAAATGGGCACGTTTTAAAATAACAGATATATCTCGACAATATTTGCTTTTAATTTGTTATAGTATGTGAGTTTTAAAATAAACCGTTTTAATATCGTTTGATGTAATAAATGTTAATATTATAAAAAGATTTAATATGTATGGTTTATTTTCAATTTTTTCAATATATCTGTTCTAAAAAAAATGTTTATATTTTTTAAATCTACAAACTTGAAACTGTTTTAAACATACAAAGACAAATTTGTCCTGAAGAAGAAGAATAATGCGAATTCTGTATCCTTTTTTTTAACCACTTCGTATTTTTTGCCTATATTTTTGTGCTCTTTCCAACAGGATTAAGTCCTGGTTTACTTAGTTTTTGTTACACACTCACAGGCAAAATAATCGATCCACACAAATTTTCTATGAATTTCAATCGCAATTAACTTTTTTATTTGATGTAGGATTTAAACGAATATTAAAGAATATTGTAGATAAATTAATGAAAAATCGCTCCCATTTTAAAAAATTACTAAAAAATAAGACGTACGTTTATAATATACAGGTTTAAACAAAAAGATGTTTTTTACCATAAGTTAAAACACTCTGTAGAGTGGCAAAACCGTATATTGTTCTAAATTAAGTTTTATTTATCAATTCACATCTATTCTTAACAGTTTTGTTTTTGGTTCACCTCGATATATTTATTTTTGTGGAAAATATGGATTTTTTAAAAAAACATTGCAATTTCCAATATTTTTCTGTATGAAGAACTAAGGTTGCTATGGTCCATCCATAGCCATGGAGAATGACAGTGACAGTTTTGTTGGATTATCCCATACTTGGACATGTCATACACGGCTTTCAAAAGCTATCAAATTGTTTTTTGCAAATTAATGTTTAAATTTTGAGGTGTCTTCTCACTTTAAAAAATGGATATGTCCCCGAATGATGTTGCCAGAGCCGTTAATTTAATCCAGGATGGACGGTCACAGTATTACGTGGCAAGTGTTTTAAACGACACAAGAAGTAAAGTACAAAGGGCAACATCACTCGGAGACATTTTTAAAAGTAAGAAGACACCTCAAAATTAACACATTAATAATTTACAAAAAACAATTTGATAGCTTTTGAAAGCTGTATATGACATGTCCAAGTATGGGATGATTCAACAAAACTGTCACTGTCATCCTCCGTAACTGTTAAAAATATATGTGACTTGATAATTAAAACTAAATTTAGAACAATATACGGTTTTGCCACTCTACAGAGTGTCTTAAACTTATGGTAAAAAACATCTTTTTGTTTAAACCTGTATATTATAGACGTCCGTGTATTTTTTAATAATTTTTTAAAATGTGAGCGATTCTCCATTAATGTATCTACAATATTCTTTAATATATGTTTAAATCCAAAATCAAATAAAAAAGTTATTTGCGATTGAAATTCATCGAAAATTTGTGTGGATCGATTATTTTGCCTGTGAGTGTATCAAAAAACTAAGTAAGCCAGCAGTAGCCTTGCAAAAAAACTATAAATGGCTAGGTAGAATTTTTTTTTTACTTTTTCATTAAAAAGCCCTGTAATATTAAATAACTCGCGAACTTTGCGAATAAAGAGGAATACCACCCTTTCCATGGAAAGTATGTGTTTCTACAGCTAGCCTTGCAAAACACCTACAAATGGCTAGGCATTTTTTTACTTTTTCCAATAGAGAGTGTTGTGATATATTTTCTTTCTATACCATGATATGATTGAACTTAACTGTCTCCATAGAGACAAGAAAGTATGTATCTATGACTAGAGATATTTTTTTTGCATATTATGTTAAACTAAAATTTAAAAATTAATATAGCTGGGTGAATATATTGAGATGTCCCCCAAGTGAAAATGATTATTTTTTATTTTTGGTTGTTTCACTGTAAGTCTAAAATGGGGTTTTTTGGAAGCCACCAGGTCTAGTAATAACATAACATAAGTGGTTCTGCACTAATGCAAGAATATTAATAAATCATACATTTTAAATATTAGAGGTTCACGGAGGTTATGATATGTTTTTTTTTACATCCCTTGGTATATTTGAAATAAGTTATTGTATCTTTTGACACCTTGATATGTTTTAAAAATACAATTGTACATACATAAAATATTTATAAAAAAATCTACTTACTGAGATATTACAGTTCACGGTGGATAGGTTTTTAAATAGCAAATTAATGAACTTAAACTTATGAATTATAAAACAGCAACACTCTCATCTGCGTATAAATTCTAACTGACCCTCAGGAATCACTTGCATCTATAATGTCGTAAACAGTGTTTTTGCTTATTTAAAATGATTAAAGCGCCATACGTTGCATAAAATTTAAAGCAAAAACATATTCACGGATGATAGAATTAATGTTTGTAACTTGTAATTTTTAATAATATTTTATATTTGATTCGATTGCTTTGGATGTGTTTAATTTACTTAGTAAACTGATATTTTAAGTATGCTTTTACTACCTCAGATATTTGAAAACATATAGGTTAACCTAGAAAGAGTAACAGTCACGGAGGATAGGTTTTAACTTTTAAAACATGTAAAAAATAATTAATTGCGGTAAAAAATCTGGAACCTGAGCTGTAATATCTACTTAATTACCTATGAAAGATCAAAACACAATAAAAGTGTAGGTCAAACTCATTTGGTTTTACTAAATTTCACGGGGTAACAACATCGGGGGACATTTCGTGAGATTCACCCAGCAGTCATGTTGTGTAGTAAGAAAAATACAAATTAATTCCCTTAATACCCTCACTCCATGACAACCTCGAGGGTACATTTCGCACATTCCAGTCTCAAGAATGTACGTTTGATCATTTATCACTTATTCTTATTTAAACATGTTTTCGAAGTTTGGACTTACTCTGGCGGTGTCCCACGAAGTGCGAAATGGGTGAAGACGATCTCCACCCTTTGTCCCGGTCCAGCCAGGAAGGTGTAGATGCACTGGCGCGAGTGCCCCTTAACGTTTACAAACTCTGGAGCGTGAAAGGTGCCGTTCGATGCGCTCCCCGGTCTACTTACAAACGTCTGGTCGCATTCTGAAACAGAAAAAAGCATTTTTAAATACTTCATTGAAGATGCCACATCTAGATATATTCAGTTTGGCATATACCCAGAGAACCATGGTTTGGGGAAGAAATTAAGTTTGGTGTACGATGTTTTAAATTTATTTGGGTTTACAATCAGCTCAGCGAAACAGCTAACACTGCAGTCAGACAAATGTCAACCTGGTGTAATAATAATGGTCTAATCTTAAATGCACAAAAAACGAATATCATACTTTTCTACCCTAAAGGTACCTTATCAAATTTAAGTTTATTAATTAAACATGAAAAAACTTCATTAGTTCAACAGGAAGTAGTAAATTTTTTGGGGCTATATGTTGATAAAAACTTATCTTGGGATCATCATATATCCAACTTGATAAAAAATCTTGGAACTAAAAATTATTGCTTAAGAAATCTCCGGAATTTCACAAGCATAAAAACCTTGATTACCTACTATTATGGCTGTGTTTATTCACTACTTTCATACGGCATTTTATGCTGGGGTAATTCGTCTCATATACAGGATGTATTTATTTCTCAAAAAAAAATCATTCGCAGCATTTTCAATCTTAGTTTAAGAACATCATGTCGACCTTTTTTTATTCAAAATAAAATTTTAACCGTTTATTGTATTAGTATTTTAAACTGTGTGTGCTATGTTAAAAAAAATCTACCAAAGTATGAAAAAGTCTCTGATATAAATTCTTATGTAACAAGAAATGCAGGAGATTTATACGTTCCATGGTCCAGATTGACACAAGTTGCAAATGGGCCACTTATATTTTCATTGAAAGTTTATAATAAATTGCCAAAAAAAATTAAGGACATAAGCAGTTTCAAAATATTTAAAAAAACTGTTATTGATTTACTGCAAGCCGGTTCCTTTTATTCTTATGATGAATACTTTAAATGTCAAATGTAATACTTTTGTTCTATAACTATGCTAGTATTGTAAGCTATATATATATAGTTATTTTTTAAATTAATTTTTAACTCTTAATATGTAAATTTAAGTTGTATGTTTTGTTTATACACTAAATGTTTTTTGACAATTTCTATACTGGTGTATTATCAGTCAAAGAAAATAAAGATTATAATTATTATTATTATTATTGTTTATTTGTACATTAAATATAGTATATTTAATATAGTATATTTAATAGTATATTAAAGAACTAATGTCATAAGAAGTCATTTTGTAATGGACGAGTGCGACAAAAGGTCTTATGACATGAGTTCTTCATGCTATTTTATCTAATTTGCAAAAATTCTATAAAAAAATTAATTTTATACCTTATATTTAATTTGGTCGAATTTTACTTTAGATAGTTGGTATCACAGTCATTGGTTTGACAGTTAATGTCAAAATCGATTCGCTATGCCGTCCTTAATTTACTTATTTACAATAAGCGGTTGTTAATGTTAAAGAAGAAAAAAAGGATTTTCTTTGGCGTAAGTACTAACATAACATAACCAATATGCAAAATATTATGCTGCCAACCTATAAAATCAAAATTTTGGGTGGGGTAAAGTACCTCATTACAGCACCGAAAGCGGTGTTACAATGAAGTCATTATGAACGCAAAATAGATAAATTGTATTTTCATTAAGTTTTAATATGATAAAAAATATATCGATAAAAAATAATTAAAAAGTGTCATCCGGAGAAACTGATATTTCAAAGAAAACTTAAATAAAAAATGTTATACCAAAATTAGAAGAGAATAGTGTTATAGTAATGGCTAAGGTAAATTATTTTTCCGTGGTATAGTACATTCAGGGTTGCTATAATTTGTCCATATTTGTTGTAACAATAATATTCTATCAAAGATAACTCCCATTTTATTTAAATTTACCGCGTTCTCCTGTGTAAACCGTTTGCAGCGACATCTACTTCATTCTTAAATGAAATATATAGTAAAGAGATCAAAGATCGCTCTTTGACTATGACGTACACATTTCTTTCAGTGTATATTCAAAACTTTGAACTCTAAACACTCCATTCATCCTAAACCACTCAAAACTAATTACTCAAAACCACAGGCTTACTTCAATCATCAATCAATCTTCTTTACTGTATCGGTTTAAAGTTTATCAATGAATTAATTATAAAGCTATCCGTTGCTTTTTGCTAGGGTGCCTGTAAATAAACAAAGCAAAAAAGTGATGCGAAGTAGGCCAATTGCCACTCGATTGAAAATCGAAATTGTTCATTGGATTACGCTTTTGAAACAGCAAAACTTAGTTACCTGAGATAATCACGTTTCGAGTTGGTATAACAGTGAGCGAAACATGGAGTTTTAGGAAAATTGAATGTAATTAAAAGTACCAAAATGATTGATACGCAGTAATTAATGCAATTACTGTAAAAATGTGCAAAACCCCAATTTAAATTTACCAAATAACAAAAGTATTTATATAAAAACAAAACTTATAATCCTAAAAATTACAATATTTCCGACACACAGAAAATTCCGTAAGAAAAACATTGCCATTGGAGCATAATTTTTTATAAATGTGCTACGTTATCCAAGTAGTTGGATTGGTTTTTCTAATTAGTTTGTTTAAGTCAATTTTCTATAATTTGTTGGAAATGGTAAGATTTTATATTTAACCATTTGCACAATATTGTCAAGAAAGTGTATCATTATGAGGTTAGTAGGTACCACATTTCTGGTGAGTAATTATTGAATATTATTTTTCCGAATAGGTAGGTAGGTATTTGCAAAATTGTTCAGGGACTGGAATAATTATGACCTGGTGATCAAATGAGTATAAAAAGTGTTTCTATGTTCCTACTGTGCTACATGTATGATTGATCAGCTTACCATTTACTTTAGTTTGTAATTTACGTTTATTTTATGTTTTCAGTTTATATTAACTTAATTCTATCCTTTTTGTGTTGGTCGCTGAATACATATTTAATCTATCGACATTTGTACTAAACTGCGCACCACTCAATGTGTCGCGACCAAAAAGTTCGTTCTTTTTCAAAACGACATAACTTTTTTGTTTCTTGAACGATTTAATTTTGGTTTGTGATGTCTGCTAGCCGTATCCTCTGGCAATTTATGCTATAGATATGAAGCTCACGGTTGGTCAAGTAAACTTCCTACAGGGTGATATGTTAAACTGTGAAAAATTTCAATAACTTTATCCAAGCCCCGTTTGTAAAAAAATATTTTTTTTTTTCGTTTTTACTTTGAAATAATGAAGTATTATGTGTTACCTTGAAACGTTTTTCAAATTTTTCGAATTGGAATCTTAGCAACGAAAATATGATTTTTTTCCCAAAAGAGTACATTTAAGGCTTTTTTTTAGGCAATACACTCAATCTTTTTAGGAACAAGAAGATAAGATGGTGAAAGATTGTTCCTTAAATAATTCTAAACAAGCGACAAGCAACAAACTTCCATTATTTTCAGAGGGCCTAAGCTAAGACCACTTTTTGAAAATGACATTTTTGTGAAAGTTTGCAAAAACTATACCTAAACCGATATTTACTTTCGTAAAATGTTTTCTTCATAATTTTGACCTCCTGATTGTGATTTAGTTGACAAATTTAAGTTTCAGATAAAACCAAAATCACTACGAATCAAGATTCAAAACAATTTCCGTCTGTTAAATGTATCAATAAAATCCGATTGCTGTTTTTTACTGTTTTTTTTACATATCGTAAATGAGTATTTAAGGGAACACCATATTGAGAAAATGAATTGGCCACCTTTGTCTCCGGATATGAATCCTATTGAGCATGTGTGGAGCAGGATAAAATTGAAGATGAAAGAGAGGGAAGGAGGCATGGAAAATTTGGATGAATTGGTAAATGCTATTCAGGAAGAATGGGGTATCCCAGAAATTTCTAAGGAACTTGGTCGAGGGAATGCCCAGGAGGGTTAACGAATTATTACGGCTTAGGGGAGGGCCAATGAAATATTGAAAGGTATTATTGTTATTGTTTGTTACATTTTTCTGTTGAATGTTGAAGTTTTGATTATGATTATATCTACGCATACAATTTTCAAAAATGAACAAAAATATTTTTATTTAACTTTATTATGAATTAGGTAGGTACTTATTAATGATGTTATCACTACTGCCCAATGTAAGTTATGTAACATTATCCTAACCACTTAAACAAATTGCAGTAATTTCGCCCAAAAAATGAATCCCCAAATGGCATTTTCATCATAAATATGCAAGAAACACGACAGCAATCGGATTTTATTAAGACATTTAACAACAGGGAATTGTTATCGAATTTTGATTCTTGATGATTTTGGTTTTATCTTAAACTTAAATTTGACAACTGAATCACAATCAGAATGTCAAAAATATAAAGAAAACATGTCACGAACGTAAATATCGGTTCAGGTTTAGTTTTCGCAAATTTTCACCAAAATGTCATTTTGAAAAAGTGGTCTTTGCTTAGGCCCCTCTGAAAATAATGGAAGTTTGTTACTTGTTGCTTGTTCAGAATTATTCAAGGAACAATCTTTTACCATCTTATTTTCTTGTTCTTAAAAAGACTGAATTTATTGCCTACCAAAAAGCCTTAAATGTACTCTTTTGGAAAAAAATTATATTTTCGTTGCTAAGATTCCAATTCGAAAAATTTGAAAAACGTTTCAAGGTAACACATAATACTTCATTATTTCAAAGTAAAAACGAAAAAAAAATTATTATTTTACAAACGGGGCTTGGATGAAGTTATTGAAATTTTTCACCGTTTTACATATCACCCTGTAGGAAATTTACTTGAAGAACCGTATGCTTAATATCTATAGCATGAATTGCCAGAGGATGAGGTTAGCAGACATCACAGACCAAAATAAAATCGTTTAAGAAACAAAAAAGTTATGTCGTTTTGAAAAAGGACGAACTTTTTGGTCGCGACACATTGAGTGGTGCGCAGTTTATTGTAAGTGGAGACGCACTTCATGTTGAATTATATCTCAATATTATTAGAATTAGCTATAAGAATTTTATAT